CTGAATATCTTAAAACCTAAATTTTGTTTTGAAAAACAATGATTATTTCATATACAATTCTATAAAAACATAAATTCTATGTTATTTTTTGCAAAACATTACACTCCTGAGGATGATGCAAGGGTACATGTCGAAACATGTAGAGTGTATGAGATTGTTTTCCAGTCTCATCAGGGTTTCTTACCACTTTTTTAACCTTGTACAGTAAGTTATTATTTTAGTAATTTGGAGACTGGAAACAATCTCACTTTTATAGAATTGTGTATAAAATAATTGTTGTTTTTTAAAAATTTTTAGTTTTTAAGATAGGACTTATAATGTTTTATGAAAGTCTGTCAAATTTTGCAAAGAAGCACACAACATATTAAGTTATATTATGGAAACTCTGATGGTTACTTGGTGGATACAAGGTCAGTCACATTGACCAACCATAAATCTAAAGAGTTAAATCAATAAGCAAAAAATTATGTATGTACGTATATATATATAAATCTAATAACAGAACTTATTAATTCAGAATAACTATTAATAAAGTTCATTTTACAATACTCACACACAATTCAACAACTTTTTTTTCAGAATGTTTTGTTATTCATAAATCATGGACATAGAAAATTATCATCTACAGCAAACTTACGGTCAAACCCATTTACTTGAACTTCATATCTCATGATCCACTTCATATATATATATATATTAAAAAAATGATTTAATTTGTATTTGGGGATGAGTGGGTAATTGAGCCTTATATTAAAGTTTCCTCTGAAACTGAGGACAAATATATAGCCATTCAATATCTAAAACAAACTAGAATGTAAGAAAGATTCCATCATCTTTACTGGAAATATCATTATCGAACATGAGCATAGACAAAGTAATACCACTTGAAACCTCACAACATGTCCCAAACTCACAAAAAAACGTGTTATTTCTTTTATTAGCTGTACTTCACACACAGACTAAAGAGAGCCATAAAATGAAATGGTTTCTCAATGAAAGCTATCTTAATGTTTGTCTGCCCTCTAAGCATTGCTAACAAAATTTTCACGATTAGTGCACCAGTCTATATACCCCATCAGTTCCGTGCCATGTCTGAACGTGTACATATCAAGTGACTACTCTCCACCAATAGTATTGTGCCACCTATATTGGTGTAGCTAACTCCCTCTGCTATTCTCACTCAATCTTCAATTTTGTTAATTGGCAGTCTCCAAAAGGAGAACACCTGCAGTGGGGAAGAAGGGTGGGAAGTATGTAAGGGAGGTAACTACCTATTGGAAATACATCTTCAGTGTAAGAAAAATGTTAACTTCTGATACAGTCTTATCTCTTCTCACACAAAGCTAGAATTCCACTGCAAAGGTGGAGGGGCAGTATAGACACAAATATAAAATCAAGAGCAAAATGACCTATGGGGTACTGCACTACTTCTGGAACAGATATGCTCTTCACTCTAGAAGTACGAAGGAAATCCAAAATGGATAGAAAAGGAAGTTACTTGCACAAGTGGAATGTGGTTTGATAGGTGCAAGCTATAGTAACATAGAAACAGAATGAGCTATGTACATTCTTAACCTCAACTGGACAGATGAGGTTCCATAAGTAGCCCTTGACATTAGGAGTTAGAGAATGAAAAAAAAAGGAACAACAACATTGTGACTAGGGCATGTGAACCATGTTACATACACCTAACAATCCCAACTTTAAGTAAACAGTGTGTCATACATTAAGCAACCAGAGCTAGGAAGGGGAAGTGAACTATTGGTCATAACTGGATAAACTCCCAAAACCACTGTAGGAGCAAGAAGTACAACAAACCAAACCCAGCATTATGGGAGCCTGTGCTTGCCTCAACTCAACCTTATGAACTGGGTAAAGCTGTAACTGGTATTATGGGCAAAATCATAAGTCACTCAACCATAAATGCAGGGCAGAGACATTCTGTATCTGGAATTACGAGAAGATCATGGAAAAATCTTCTAATTATACGAACAGAGCATGGACATCTTGTTGCTGGTATTACGAGGCAGTTAGTTTTTCCTCTCTAAAACAGTGTTAATAACGTCCTTTATAGTAATGCCATGGAATTTTAGATTAACAATTCTTTGTCATCACCTCCATGCAATTGGTATAGCCATAACAATCATCATTATTTATGCTAATTGCTGCAGCTAATATCATGTGATGCTAAACATTCTTTAATTAGGATAATTTCATAAAATTTAATAAATTTGTGCTGAAAAGTTGGCAATCAATAATAACCATCCACCCATATGATTCTTTTATAAACTTGAGCTAGAAACTGCTAATCTAGCAATACTTTGTAACTGCACATTCTTTCACCTTAGTTTTGTTGCTCTAAATCATCCATCTTTAATCCGATTGAACAGTCCACTTTTATTCTTAGGTAAAGCTGTAGTAAAAATGTTAGACAGATATCTTATGTGACATTTTATATAGGCATGCACAAAAATTTTCGTCCAATTTGTGTAGTTTTTCTTGAATAACTTTAAACTTTCGAAGAAACTCAATCAAAATTGCAGATGTTATCTTTCAGGTATTTCTCAATGGATTGCCTTGAAATTTGGTATGTGAAATAAATTTACAGACAAATCTTTAATAAAAATACTTTATAAAAATATCCTACTTTTTGTGTATAACAGCTTTGTAGCATTTACTGAACATTTGCCAAATTCTGTGAAGATAAACTAAGCAGTTAAGAGTTATAGCATATATAGCATCACAGAAACAGGCTTGGCCCACTGGACTGACACAGCTCTTAAAGTGTTAATGTAATGTTGAATTTTTAATACTAATGGATCTAAGCTAGAGGTAAGCAGAGGCATCACTCCATCTCAAAATCAGTGTTACATCTCATAGACTGATAGAGATCTCTGATCTTGGCTTAAGCACAAGCATCTTAGGGATGAACCTATTCCAGAAATTATCAAATAATATGGCCCTAGTGGAAGATTGTTGAAAGAGAGTTAGAATGAGTAATCAACTTCACAGTTTGCCTGACCACCCAATTTCAAACAGGGAAGGAGATTTACCCTTATTACCGTCTGCTCTGGTTAAAACCATATATGGTTTACTAAGAGAAAGTTTAAATTTATTAAAAAACAGTATCCAAATTTTAGGTCAATACCATACATATTGCTTTGTCATTATGCACAATTTTTTAAAATTATGGATTTTTTTTAATCCATATTACAAGACAAAAGCATAAAGGCCATTCTAGTTTTAAAATAATATCGTAGTGTGGTATTTTAACATAAATGCAAGAATATAGAATTTTCTTAGAATACAAAAAGAGTAAATTTTGTGAAAAATCCTTTGTGAGAAAATAACTTTATAGTTAAAAATGGCAAATTAGGCCATATAGTTAAAACATACATGTAGGAAAGCCAAAGTGAAATAAGAGTTTTACTTATGATAACATGGCCCAAGTTTACAAAAAAACATTTTTGGTTACAAGCCAAAATAAAAACTGTTTGATCACACCTGAAAAATGATCATTAAAGATTAAGCGATACTTTACAGTAACAAACACTAAAGTCTTATTATTTCCTTAATTAATCAAGAATTTAAAGTATTATGCAGAAGATGTAATACTTGTATCATGAAAACTTTGTATCCTACTATACATTTTACTGTTATGATACACTTCTACACTTACAAATTCAGAGCTGTATGAAAAAGTTCCTTGTATAGTTTTAAATTTATTTCTTATTTTTAGTGGTTGAGTTGTTGCAAACTAACAGAAAATCTCTTGTCTATATCTGTAGTACTTACAGTGAATGCTTTGGAGAAATTCTGATAAAAAAAAAGAGTTAGCACACAGGATCACAGACAAAAGGTACATTGAATTATAAAAAAAAAAGACCCAAAACTTGAATGTTTTTGTATAGTTTTGGAATAATTTTTTCATGTTATTTATGAAAATTCACACATGATGTAAAGTATGTATTTGTTTACAACATGCAAAATCTTCCTTAAAGTCACAGATGCATTAATTTTATAAAACCTCTACATACTGTATAAGCAATGAATACTGGAAAAGTTAATTTATGTTAGAAGCATACTCTGACTGTAAATTGATTTTAGTTTATTTAACTATAAATAACAGAAAAGATATAGTATCGTCATTCAATCTGAGTAGAAATACCTATGGTTACATACACAGAAGACACAGTTTAAGCTTATTTTGACTTGTGGCGAGGAGAACCAGTAACTTGAAGATAGCTTTTATATATGGAAACATCTGTTAGCTGAGTTCTTGCAAGATCTTAAAATATAACGTTGATAAATGAAAACATCAGCACATGTAGATACGTAGATCTTGACAGTCGAGTTGTTCAAAACTTGAAAATAGCATTGATAACTGGACCAATTGTTGGTTGAGATGTTGCAAAAGAAATATCTGCTGAAGCTTTTTTGGCAGACACTAATCATAGCAGAACAAATCATAGCAAATGGTCTGTCAACCTTTCATCTATATATTTGGAAGCCACCTTTATTAAAACACATAAACCTGTCCTTTGCCACCAAAAAGAATTCCTATACAATCTACACATCCTTCAGTAGGTCTGTGACATTTCCTGATTGGCTTAAGGACATGCCAATCAGTGATTACCTTACCAGCCTACGTTGATCTGACTCATTTTATAAGCTGTACTATTTCCTATAGATTATTTTCCAGACGGTTCTGCTATGATTAGTGTCTGGTGAAAAGCTTCAGCAGATATTCCCTTTGCAACATCTCAACCAACAATTGGTCCGGTTATCAACACTATTTTCAAGTTATGAACAACTCGACTTTCAAGATCTACGTATCTACATGTGCTGATGTTTTCATTTATCAAAGTTATATTTTAAGATCTGTGCAAGAACTCAGCTAACAGATGTTTCCATATGTATATAAGTTATCTTCATGTTTTGTACAACAAAAAACGTTTCAAGAACCAGTAACTGTTAGAGATGAAAATGTCTCAGCAAAACACACACAATACATCCATTCACCATGTGCAGTGATAAATCTTAGATACTGGAAAGAAGAGGTTGTAAAAATTGATCCATTAAAACTTGTTCAAGCAATAGAAAGATATGTAGTTATTCAAAAATAAGAAAGGATTAGGGATGATGAAGACAGTGACGAAATTTACTACTGAGAAATACTTATTATATGAGCTGCTATTGAGTTCTAGCCATTCTCAAGTCAGAATTCCCAAATAGTAAATAAACAATCAAAGCTAACAGACCACTTCAAGATTCATTAGTTATAATGATTGGTAACCTACCCTAGTGATTTTCTCAATTAACTTATATTTGCAGCTTTTGTTCACCTTTGAAACTTGGCATTTGCTGTTCTATACAATTTCTTTTGACCAAGACTGGGACACAGAGGTTCTTAAGAGTTAACATTTGAAATGAGTAGTAGTGACAGCAGTGAAAGGGTAACTCCATAACCAGATCATAGAAAGTACAAACTAAGATAAAGTATTTTTTATTCTTAAAGTGAAAATCAGCTTACACACAAACTAGTCAAGAGTCTGAGTCAGACTGCCTTGAAAATTCACAGAAAATCTTTAGTAAAAAATACTTTATTAAAAAAATGATATTTTGTGCACAACATACTTGTGATGTTTACTAAAAGCTTACAAATTTCATTAAGATACGTATAGTAAATTTACAATTATAATGAATATAATTCTTCAGTATAGGCTTGCTCCAATGGACCAACCCCACAGCACATAGGGTTAATAATATCAATAAATGCATAATTAGTAATATTTGATGATGAGATATTAGAGAATGACTTGGATCAATTTGTAAATTGGGCAAATATTTGCCCAATTATAGTAAAGTAATGTATTAGGTTATCATAATTTAATATAGATAGATGGAAGCCTATTCAATAGCATGACTGAAGAAACGTACCTTGCCATAGTGATGGGTAAGTCACTGAAGTCATTGAAGCAGTGCCCTAATGTTAATAATAAAGCAAGTAGAATTTCATGGTTCACTTATAGACATTGATAATAAGTAAAAAGAGGTAACCATCTCTCTATACAAATCACTAGTTAGGTCTCACTTTCTATATGGTGTACATTTTTAGTCATCTAAGAAAATATAATTACTTATCTGTATTAAGTAGCACATGAAATTTGAAAAAAATACTGGCATTAAAATTTTTTTTTAAACCTCTTATAAAATACTTATATTCAAAAGAAGAGACAAATCTCCAACCAGAGTTTATGAAGTTTATTGAATAATTTCCCATTTTTTTCTAAATATTTATACGAAAAGCCTAAAAAAAAAAAAAGAATTCTTTTTTTTTTGCTTATTACCTTGATGAAATGGTTTGGCTTCATTTGGTTCCATCCTTAGTTCTGCACATTGTATCTTCATAGACATCTGCAAAACACAAGTTTTCAAAATATTAGTGTTGTCAATTATTTCTCTGAGAGGTAAACATAATGTGCCACTCTCATTAACCCTATCTGTACAGCAGGCATCAAAGTGTGCATGTAACAGGCTTTATTACAGTTACATTCAAAATTTAGTTAAACAACTTTATCAGTTTATGTAAGTAAACTTGACATCAAAATGTTGTTTGTAATTCAAGTTTAAATATTTTAAATGTTTTAATTTCTTAACCTCAAATGGAAATATTTAAATAAATTCTCAATCTTCACTTTTCTGAGTCATATGATGCATCTCTGCTCATAATATTTTTAGATTTTCTTTTTCCTTTATTTGAGTTTTAGAATTTCCACCAATAAGATACATCAACTATTGATAATGGCAAGCCAGAATTTAAATTAAGAGACTCTCACCTTGTTTATTTTCTGAGTTATCAATAAATTTGTTACACTCATCACTGAAACTCCTTCCAACACTTCATGCATTTAAAATTACTTAGTTCATTTTCTTGTTGTTCTCACTTCACACGATTATAGCACTATTCTAATCCTGTATCCTCTAATGTGTCAAAATATTGTTATTTTCTCTTGCCTGATGATGCGCTAAGTAGAAGGGTGAAATGTTGCATGGTCATACTTATACATGTGTGTGTATTTCTCTGTAATTAGAAACATGTACTCTTTTTCTAAACATACCAAAAGCTTTTGACACAATTTCACAGGAACATATATCCAAAAAACTTTACAGATTTGGAATAAGATGTGCTGTTTTAAGTTGGTTTAAATCATATATATATTCAACAGAAATGAGTAGTTAAAATAAATAAAATTATAATTGGAGTGATGAAATGAGCTTAACTACTGAAATACTCCTTGGATCAGTTTTGGGTCCATTATTGTTTCTATTACATTTAAATGATTTCTGTGAAATTAAGTCAGATGGGAAAAATACCAAGTTTTGCAAAAGACTTAGTATTAAATAATAATGGAAAGTCTGATAATGAGGTCATAAAAGAAAGAAATAATGATTTAAGATGCATAAGGATTTGGTTTAATAATAATTTATTATGTTTAAATGTAAAGAAAATAGTGTACATGAGATTTTCTATAAAAAATATCAACTCAAATAGTTCAAAGTGAATCAATAAGTTATGAGAACTGTATTTGTAAATATTTATTTATCAAGAATAACAAAATTTTTATTCAGTTCTACAAAAAACACAAAATATTAACTATCTTGGAGATACTAGACTACAGATTACATTGAAAAGAACACATTATATTAATGGAAAAAATTAAAAATATCAGCAGTAGGTTTTACTATTTAAAACATTAATTATCTGAGAATGAAATGAAAAATATTTATTATGCTTGATTTGATTCAATTCTACAATCAATATGGTGTCACATGCTAGGAAGGTACCTATCTAACAAAGTTAAAAGTTTTAACACAGTTACAAAAACTATTATCAGATATATGTTATCATTATTACACTATGATCATATTAAATTACATTTTCAAAATTTAAATATGCTACTGCTGCATAAAATATATATTTACAAAACAGTAAACAGATTCAGTAAAGATATTCAATATTATCAAAAAATAAAATCAATATATCAAATAAGAGCTGAAGAACAAAGGAATTTAAAAATTACAAAAGTAGAAATGGAAATCTTTAGAAAAAGTTGTTTATATCAAGCACCAAAATTGTATAATAATATTCCAAATTAAATAAAATCAATTTTTAGTAATAAAAAATGTAATATTAAACCAGTGTTAAAGAAATGGATAACTCATACAGAGGAATCACAAAGCCTAGTTAAGAGTCTATATACATAAAAAATATAAAATATTTGAGTTGCAAAATATGTATTAAAATATTATAATATGTTAAAATAGGTTTAATTGCACAAAACATAATGAAGGAAATATTACTTAATTTATTTACAATCCACACTCAAGTAATCTTATCAATCTTCTTTCTCTCTTATGAGACTGTATACTTTTTTGTAGTTTTATTCTTCAATTTTATATTAAGTGGATTGTACTTATTTCTTGAAGAAAATAGCATCAAATCTGAAAAAAAAAGACAAGATTAGTGGCATTCTAGCTAAGGCAACCACGAATGCTGAGCTTAAAAATTATGCTATAAATTGGTGCATGAGCCACCTCTTCCAATATTTGGAACCACACCATATGATCTGTCCATCCCATGCAAAGGTTACCTGTGCTACACACAGCATTAACTGTTAATTTTATTTGCCAACAAATTCCTGTATTTTTTTCACAAACCTCATTCAATTGAACCTCATTTGTTAGATTAATGCAATAAAATTGAAATGGCTATCAAACATTACCATTTATCTTACCTAAAAAAAGTATTTCAGATAAATACTTATATTTCTGAACCACTAAGAACTATTACCTCATTCACAACTGCTGTGGAGTTTCCTATACATGTCACAAACCTCGACCAAACTCCCACCCCTACACAATGAAGAATTATTTATTAGAGGTTTTAACCCCAGTATCATAGATAGCGCTTGTATCAGACTTCAAAACAGTGAAAAATATTATGTTAACTCTAACCTTTCATCTATCAAAAACACAAAACATATTTGTTTCATTCTCTTTTGTGCCAGAAATTGCTAACAAAATTACTCAACTTTTTAATAATTTGAGCATTGATGTTAAAACTGTATTCAAACACTCACATAAATTTAGCATTTCATTATCTAACTCAAAAAAATACCTATAAAAAGAACAAAAACAGGGCATATACAATATCCCATGTGAATGTGAAAAGAAATATATAGGACAAATGTTACATTCCTTAGAAACAAGATGCAAATAGCACCAAGATCACATGCATTGAGGTGATTTCCAGTTATTCGCCTTAACATATCATCATTATAAAACAGATAAAAAAATACTTTGGGACGAAATTCTTCTCCTACACCGACCTAAAACTAAAAAAAGAAAGAGGCTGTTTAGAAATTATAGAAATCATCAAAGCAAATGACCTCTCACTAAACCGTGATAATGAGCCCAACAACATCAGCCATATTTGACAAGGTCTATACACCATTCATACACTTGACCTTTACTTATATCCCATCACTTCCTGACACTAATTCCATCACATTTAATCTCTATTGTATTTGTAACAATATATAAACCTTGGATCACTTAGTGGTGATCATACCCAAAGAAGACAGACCAATGTCCTGTCAAAACATGTCATATGTTTTACCATCAATAAAACATTTTCTTATGCTTATAAATCATTGTTTGCCTACCTATTATTGTGCTAGGTTTAGTCCACATACTAGCCTGTCAGATCTCCTCCAAAGGCTGGCAATGAAAATAAGCAACAGACAGTGATATACCAAATTTGAAGGGATGAAACATGAAAGAGCACATGGTCAGACTCACCAAAAGAAGATATGCAAAAAGGATGAGCTAGTGAACCGCACTAGTCAAAGTAGAAAAGGACAAGCCTCAAGAGAAGGAGTTCTGTCATGGTAAAAAGAGGTGATTCCAGTTTTCATGAAAAGGGCAGTCTGAGCAAGAAAGCAATGGACAGCTAGAATATGATACATGAACAAAATGATTGCACAAGGAAATAAGAGGGGGAGAGGGAGAGACAGGAGAAACATCCAATTGCCCCTCTGGCACAGCCCATCGTTGAAAAAAAGGAACAGTCAGGAAACAACATCAACTGGTCCACATCATGGAAAGTACAAGAGGCATTTAAGGTGTAAATATCCGAATGATGATGACCACAAGCAAGGAGAAGGAGAAAATATGTCTTAAGAGACAATTGATACAACGAACATGAGGCCAACGGTTTAAAAAGGGTTAAGTTAGAGCCTGAAAAACCACTTAAAGGTCCCAGTCAGGAAGAGGGACCAGATTAGGTATTTTGGGGTTGATAAAAAGTCCTTGGAGAACAGGCAAAAGAAATGTAATATTGAGTGGCAAGAGGTAGAAGGTCATGGACAATGCCACCTGGTAACCTGCAATGGTTGAGACAGACAGGCTTTTGGTGAAAAGCCATATAAAGGAAGTAAGATGTGGAGGAGTAGGAGAACCTGTAAGAATGTGGCAGAGGGACCAGTGGTGGTAGGCAGTTCATTTACATTCATAGATGACAAGGATAGAAGGCTGACACCCCAATGTGGAAAATGGGTAATCTAGGTTGACGATGGAAGGAAGGGAAAGAGGCTTCCCAAGAAAAGTGAAGCAGAAGAGGAAACCATGCCTGAGCTGGCCTCAGAAGAGTAATCAAAAAAAGGTATGTTGCAGACAATAGAATACACAGGGAAGAAGGCAAAAAAGGAGGGTAAGCATGAAAGAGATTGGACTAATCCTAGCTCTGAGCACTGACAGCCAGAGCAGTTGAACCTGGGATGGGTGACTAAAAGAGGGGTCATTCAGAACTGAGTAGGGTTGAAAAGGGATTGATCTGAGAAGTCTTGAACCATATGGTAGCCATGCCCCCAAATTGTAAGGATCTAACATCGCTATCACTATATTTTGTTCCAAAAATAAAACTAGATGACGAAATGGTTTGAAATTTGATAAGAACTTTCACTTATAGTTTATTTTTGATTTTCTCTTGGAACTCAATGTCTTTTATTATTCATGGTGACATGTCAATGTACAGCCCGCAGGGCTTTATAGTTATTACATGCTGTACTCAGCTGTGACACACACCATTCACTAACATTGCACACACTATCATGTTTATACACTTTCACCATCCAAGCTGAAAAAGTTAAACCTATAAAAATCACTAAATCTTTCATATATGCACTTTAAAACACAACTAATACATAATTAATTAAAATATAAATGTAAAAATTAAGGTGTGAAACATTTGCCAAGTGCTATGTACACCTCGAGAGAACAATGGACTTCATTTCAACCCATGTGAAAACTAAAGCATTTACTATTCCAGTAACAAATTCAAGAGCGAAATCTGC